CTAATCACTGATACAGTTACTGATATAGACCAAAAATACTTGCTGGGTGTTTACTGTGATACATACCTTTAAAAAATAATTCTCTCCTATATTCCAAAAGTACTGCAATGACTTGTAAAATTATTAGTGCTTGCTGAACATATACAACAGCAATGCACTTGTCATTCAACATTCAACCAACTATCATAGAGACATTCATCTTCCATTCACTTGATTCAGAAAGAAACAAATAAAAAAGGCTAATATCTGACCAGTAACAGGAAGAACAGAAATGAAAATAAGTGTCAGAATACTTCTCTACATTTAAAGGGTATATGGATGGTTTGTGAGAAATGCCAAGATAGAAATGTACATCAACTATATATTTTTCAAAAAAGAAGTAAACTTTTAACCACTGCAATCTATGAATGTACTTCTTTCTTACTGTTCTCTTTTTTAGATAAATTAATGTGTAAGAGAATCCTTGCATATTTTAGATCACTCCTACCTGCCATCTTAATCTAAATAATAAGTATTTATCATCAGCAGCAAAAAAAACAAAAAAACTATATACCAAAACCCTGCCATAAGTAAGTAGGAAAAGCCATCTGGACAGAATGACAGAGATAGAGCATGTAAACATACTTAAAAACTATTATGAAAAGATATCACAAAATAAATGACTTAAAACTTGTCCCCTGTAAGGCTCTACAACTAGGGTATGACATTAGATAATGCAAGAAATAAAGATGCAGTCTTTGTCAGTCTGAGGTTGTGTTATGTAACTAGATATCACTCAGAGATTAACATGATCTAAAGGTAATGAGGGAGTGAAAACAAAGAACATGAAAACAATATAGAAGAAAATATCAAGTACATGAATACATAATATGAAATGCTAAACATATGTAATACAGATTCATATTTTAAATCATCATGAGTGTGGATATATATAAATATACCATTCAGTATAGATTCAGTTCTGGTGGGTGTAATTTTCTGTTTCAAACAAAACAGAAGCATGAATACTTATTAAATTCTGTCACCCATTTAATGCTTCAGCTTAGAAAGAATGCTAGTCACAAGTTCTGTAAGATAACTAGCTCAAAACTAGTTACATTAAATAACATAGTCCCAAAATCTTTATGGACCCTAGAAACTTAAATTTCAAACTCTCATTATCAAACGGACATAACCTCAAAATACATTTCACTGATTCCTGAAATACATATTCATTATTCTTTGACAGCTAGTAAAATATACAACTCGAGCTCGTGAACTAAAATTCTCTTTTTCCATTTTTTTTTCTTTTTTTCTTTTTTCATTTTTTATTCACCTTGCCTTACATCTGTCATGCTCATTCTTTGAACATATGTTGCTACCACTGGCAGTTGGCAGCCCACCTGTCATAACCTAGCATACAACTATGTATTTGGGCAACATATAACAAATATCACAGAAGTTCAGCTCAGAGTGGCTAATCTTGTTATTATCTCTTGGTTATGCTCTGCCGAAAGTTCTCTAGCGCCATGATGCTGCTGGACAACCTATGGACAAGAAAGAGAATTAGCTAAAGCCTTCACTTCAAAACTTGGAGAAAATATAGAAAGGCAGAAAGCCCAATCTTCTACCTACAAAGCTCAATCTTCTACCAACAAAAACTACAATGTCTCTACTTACCGACCAAATGCATTAATCAGAGCAACAATCTCAATACGAGACAGTTGGAACTTAGCGTGTCTCGCTGCTGGAAGGTCTAAATTTTGGTTACCTGGCTGGTCTAGATTGCCTGAGAACAGAATCTTGAGTGCTGTACCTAGGCCAGTTACCTATAATGAGAAAGATGAAATTCTACATTGTGGATTTTATGTACAAAGAATAATGCTAAAAATTAAAAGAAAAGAAAGAAAAAAAAAAAAAAAATTGAGAAGCAATTCCTCCAACTGAATTACAAAAGTTACCTGCAGCTTGCCCCAAAGACGGCACTTGTCACATCCAACACAGTCCATAATCCGAGACACATTCCAAAAGTGCTGGCGAAATTCCTCTTTCAACTTAGCTGCTTGCTGGCCACCAGAGAACATGGAACTTTCATCAAAGTGCTCTGGGAAACTCCTGCAAAACAATGGTTATAACTATCATACCATGGTCATGTACCAGTGGCAATATTCCATCTGCCTAAGTGAATGAAATAATAGCAATGTGTGGATGATACACAAATATGTAAAGACTGCTGTTCCAAAGCAGTAATTTCTTGATAAAGTTATGTTCCTGCTTCACTACAGTAGATAAAAATTATCTTCAAAGTTCCTGTCATCATATCACATTATATTTAATCTCTTCATAATATGAAAAGAAAAGAAAAGGAAGAAAGAAAGAAAGAAAGAAAAAAAAAATCTAAAACAGTACATACTTGACAACAGTTAATAAGTCTTTAACTGCTTTTGATACATCATTATCTTCACTTTCATTTCCTGTGTAGTATTCTAAGCTTTCAAGGTACGGAGCAGCTTTAGCTAAA